CAGGGTCAGCCCGCTCTCCTCAAACGGGTCCTTCTTCTCCACGTCTCCATCCTGCACGGAGAAGGGGGACAAGGTGTCAGCCTGGGGCAGCATCCCCCCCACCGCGGTGTCCTGCAGCGTTTCACCCCACCCGGCCCCGGAAGAGGCGTTTCCTCCAGCATCCATGATAAGCAAACATGCAGGGATGAAGGTTTTTTGGAGCAGAAGGTCAAAGTCCCTCCACACCCCCCCCATACAGTGTCTGTGGTTTCGCTGGCAGCGGCTGCATCCGTGCAGCCAGGGAGTTAATTACTACATTGTGTACATTGGGGGGGGGATTTCCCCGCCTGAAGAATGTGTGGCTGCCACAGCTGGGAGTGGAAAAGCAGAAACACAAGCTGCTGCCAGAGGGAAAACAAAGCTGCTCTGCTCCTCCAGTGGGCAAGTGAAAAAGCAGCCCCTGGTTTGGGCAGAAAGTAGGGACGAGGGAGCAAGTTGGGTGAGCCAGTGTCTGGGGGGGCTACAAGAAAGCTGGGGTGGGCTTTTTCCAAGGGCAGGGAGTGACAGGACAAGGGGTAACGGATTTAAACAGAAAGAGGGAGATGGAGATGGGACATCAGGAAGGAATTCTTCCCGCAGAGGGGGAGAGGCACTGGGACAGGTTGCCCAGAGAAGCTGTGGATGCCCCATCCCTGGGAGTATCCAAGGCCAGGCTGGATGAGGCTGGGAGCAACCTGGTCTGGTGGAAGGTGTCCCTGCCCATGGCAGGGGGTGGGAACTAGATGATTTTTAAGGTCCCTTCCAACCCAAACCCGTCTGTGATCCTATGATCAGGGCTAGTTTCAGTGGGCAGCATGCTCCGTAGCGGGTGCAGTCTAAAGCTTTGGGTTCATGATGACATCTGTGCCAAGGACCTGGGCCACATCTGTGCTAAGGCCTTGCCAGTTCTCCGTGCTGGACAGGATGGAGATGCCCAGGGAGAAGCAGCTGCACCCCAGAGCTGCACGGCCACACTCTGCAAGACACACTCTTGTGTCAACAGTGGGCAAACAGAGTCAAGACCTCCAGCTTTAAGGGAATATTTTAAACTCCACCTCCTTGCACTGCAGCCCTACCACCCCTGCGGAACTCTAGAACAGCGATTCCACAAACCCTGCGGATAACCATGGGCAAGTCTTCCAGTAGCACTGCAAGACCATGGCTCCAGCCTTGCCCTGGCTTAACGAATGCAAACTGAGCTGGGAGGTGGCTCGTATGAGCACGCTGGGCTACGAGCCACAGGCAAACCCCTGCCACCCCCCTGGGGACACTGGTTTCTAGTGCAGAGATGGGACAGTGATCTCTGAAACAGCCCAAAGGGGATCCCATGGGAGTGACCGCTGCGCTCAGGCAGTGGGACACAGCCCAGTTTTCCAAAGGCAGCAGCCGTTGGTGCTGCCCGCTGTCGCCGAGGATCAGGACATGTATTATTTAATGCTCCAAGAGAAATGGAGATGCCAGGCTGCAGGCGTTTGGCCGCAGCTCTTGGACACAGCTGGTGTTCGAGCTGGTTTGGGGTGCTCGGAGGAGGCTGCGTGAGCACTGGCTGCCATCAGACTCCCGCTCCCAGCATCCCAGAGCAGGAGACGGCACAAGTACGGAGACACAGCAGAGACCCCACGCAGCACCTGCGTGAATGCCTTCCTCTGCTTTTAGCAAAGCTTCACGCTAAATTTTTGAGCACTTTAAAAAAAACCTGCTAAATATCACCACCGAGAGAATACCTTGTGTTTGCTCTGGGCTGCTCATTCATCTTGGCTGTTCAGCCAGGGAAACAGCCCCAGCCCTGCGGGTCACTGAAGCCACGCTCCTCCCATTCTGAGTGGCTACCTCAAACACTGATAAATTCACTGCGCCCCAAGGTAAAAGCAACGTGGCTTTTTAAAATTTTAACCTTCCTTGTTCCTCTTCGCAGCACCTGAACCCCACAGCTCCGCTCCTCCTGGCTTCCCAGCATCACCTCCTGCTCTGTAACTCCTCAGTATAATTACACTTAAGATCCAAAACTCTTGCAGGCATCCTTTCATCTTAGCCCTCCCCTCGAGCTATCCCAGCACGAGTCACTGCCCAACACAGCACCAATTCACTTGCTGCCATTCCCCCTTGATGTTCTCTGCTCGGTTGGGGCAGTGCCACCTCCTCTCCGAGGTCACGATGCCCGAAGGGATGAGCTCACATGGGTCTTCCCAGAGCCAGGGGTTCGCCCAGGGAATGGAGCACACATCCTCGCAAAACTCATCTGTTAACAGGGGACATCTGCTGCAGGCAGTGGCCACGAGACCCCCCACGAGCTTTTCTGTCCCCCAGGCAAAGAGAGGAAAGAATCTGCAGCCTGGACTTGGCTCATGGAGCCAGCGGCTTGCTGCCAGGGGACAGACACGGACAAGTAGCCATGCAGCCTCCTTAAACTCTGTTTAATCAAACCCTGCCTGTTTTAGGTCCTGAAACACGGCGGGATTTGGGTCGCGTGGGAATGCTGCTGCATCTCGCAGATGCGGGTTTGCGGGGGCAGTTTGCAGCTGCGGTTTACAGATGTTCGCCTTCGCACGTCCACCTCTGTGACAGCAGCTCGTGCTGCGACAGCACACGTCACCCTGAGGGTCCCAAACCCTTAACCTGAAGTCGTTATCCCAAAAACGCGGCCCCCTCCGCGCTGGAGCCAGCAGCTGCTGACAGCTCGTGGCTCCATTTCATGCACATCTACAAGGCAAGGGATGAAAAAACTCCCTATTTTGCTTGCTGGATGGATACAAGTGTACCTGAGTGCGAGAAAAATCTGAAAAGGCATTTTTACACAGCAGCGTAAGGCAAGCAGGTTCCTACAATGGCATGGAAAAGGGATTGGGAACGTTTGGGGTTTTTACCTCCGACTCCTTGCCAGGACTTTGAAGGTCACTGTGAGATGAAGATGTGGATCCTCCATTCAGCTGTCGGAAATTAAAGTGTTAGTGCAATTTGCACAACGACAGAATTAGAGAGAAAAATATAACCAGCAGCAGCCAGGCAGAGAACTGCCCAGGCCGGAGAGACACACGTGCCTTCTCCAGGGATGGGAGCAGAGCCCGGAGGGGAGGGTCCTGCCGAAGGGACCCTGCCCACACACGTATGCATACATGCACACACGGGAGCTCCCTGGGCTTTGCTGGCAGTGCCACTGCTCTGCTGCATCCCCAGCTGCTCCCCTCCTCCGTCACTGGGAACAGTGATTAAACAGGGCTGAAACCAGCCTTGTTCAACCCCTCAATTAAAGCTGTGGCAATTAAATCAGCCAGCAGCAGTTAAGCTGAGCTAAACGAGCCTTGGGGACGTTGTGAACATCCCTCCCTGCTCTGCAGGCTGGCAAGTGTGGGACAGGCTCATGTGTGGGAGCCAAGGAAAGCCAGCATGCCAGGGGCCTGGGCTCTCACCCCCCATCACTCTTGACCACTCCAACACGCTCCCCTAAACCGAGATATCCCAGGATGCTGCCCAGCCACCTCAGGCATAGGAGCATCCCGGAGCAGGCAAGGACTCACCTGAGTCTGTGCGGATCCGTTTGTCATGGGTTGAGGGACCACCCCTGGAGCCACAGAAGAAAACACAGTGTAAACACACTCAGCCGGGATCACCGGCCCCGGGTCCCAGGCAGGCACCCCTCAGCATCGCCCTCCTGGGTGTCCCGAGCCTGCCCTCCCCCCCCATCAGCCCCACCAGCTCAGTGGGTGCTCTTGACTTTGTCCCATGCTGCTGCCAAGCCCACGCAAAGGCCTGTCCACCACCCCCCCTCTGGAACCAGCTGCTTCCCAAATTCCCCTCACTTCACCTGGTTTCACCCTCTTCACATCAGAAGAAAACACCTTGCAGGAGGGGGACTGAGTAATTTCCTCCTATGAGCACTAAGTTCAGCTTGCTCCCAGTTTTTTTGACCATTTTTCTTCAGAGGCTGTTTAATCAGAAATCTTAAAAACCAACCCAAGGTTCCTCACCAAAATCAGCGCCACAGAATCAGTGTCACAACCCGCTCCCCAGACACCCTGTTTTTTTGGGTTTTTTTGTTCACTTCCAACGATTTTCACTAATAATATTCCACACGGTGGAAAATTTTAGGCAGATAAGCTGCCAGTCACCACGACCAAGTTGCTGCTAAAGTCCCCTCTGTCCCAGGCTAACGGATGTGTTAATTGTGCCAGGATTAATAACTGAATTGCATCGAGCATGAACGCTTCTCAGGATGAAGCCCTCACCCTGTGCATCTCTCCAGAAGGCAGCAACGATGCGGATGCACGTCACTGTGTAGCCCAAAATCCAGCAAAGCCAGAGGTGCCAAATGCAGCCTGTGACTGCCGAAAGCCGGGGGGGCTCATCACACAGCGCCAAAGCCATCGTCTCCCTGCACCGCGCCCGGGCACGGCCAGGCTTTCCGAAGGACCGACCGGTGCGAGCTGCAGGGACTCCCAGCGCAAATCCGGGCGCCTTTGGGTTCATACAAATAAACCCCAATCATCATTTTGAGAGTGTGCTGGTGCAAAAGCCTCAGTTACGGTGTTGGACCCTTGAGCGTCTTATCGCGCTGTCGGGCTCGTGTCTACAGTCGCGTAAGCTCTGAGCAGCGGTCAGAAGGAAGTCAGCTCGTGGCAGAAACGCTGCTACGGTCCCTGGTGTTCAAGAAGCTAGAAGATCACATTATTTAAGTGAGAAGCAAGCTTCAAATCACAACAAATGTTGAAGTGGAACTGGACTTCAAAAAAAAACCCCAGAAGTTATTTCAAAATTTGGCCTGTCTGGAAATATTTTCTTATTTCCTTAATCCTGAAAGGTGCATCCCTCTTAAAATACACGCATTAGGTACAACATTCAGCTGTAAGACTTTGAAACCCTCAGCCTGAGTCAAAGCAGTCTGATTAAAGACTGCAATTATGATTTCCTCTTATCCTGCAAATAACCGGCGCACTGTCACCAACACGGCAGACCCAGTTCTTCATCTCTGAATGCATCAAGACGGCAGCAAGAGCTGCAGAGCCAAGGCAGGGGCTCCAGCACCCATCCGCAGCCCCCATGGCCCCAGCTCTGTCCCCACCCTGGGGAAAAAGGGCTCCTTTATCGCCCGTGCCAGTGGCCAGCTCTCACCCCAGCTCCTCCTCGAACCAACACGGAGCATCCGACTCCGCTTTCGCCCCCTGCGCTTCTCCTCAGCATGTTTGACCCAGATCTTTGGACAAACCTCCCCACTGAGCATCCAAGGGAGCTGGGGTGCAGGTCGGATAAGGAACAGCTCTGTTGGGAAACAGAGCTCCCCATTCACCGAGGGCAGGAGGGGCTGGGGAGTGCCCCGTACCCTCCCCACCCAGAGCTGCAGCACAACAGGTTGGAGAGTGGACAGGCAGCTTTCTCTGCCAGGTCTGAACAGCAAGGAAAACATTCCTGTGACAGCCATCCCTGTGCTGTGAAACCCTTCCTCCTGCACCCACACACCCACACAGTGTTTGCTCCAGTGTTTCGATGGAGGATTTGTTGCCCTCTCCCTCCGGCACCCCAGCGCAGCACCCAGGCAGACGGCTCTGCTCCCCCGGGTCCACCCACTCCCCTGCCAGACACCCCGTCTACCAGGGTGTGGGTGCTGCACCCAAAAACAGAGGGGCCCGAGGCACGGCTGTCAGAGAGGCTTCCCAGACCCAAACAGACGGACCAGTCCCAATGGAGCATCCCTCTGCGAGCCCATGGCTCACAGAGCACCCAGCTCCCCCCGAATCCCACCACACTTTGCCTCAGCCACTTCATGGCAGCAAATTCCTAATTTAATTATTCACCGTGTAAAAATAACGAACTGGGTTTTGGCTAGATCCAGAAGTATTCTCACTATGTATAAATAGCTGGGTGGTGCTCAGGAAACAGCGGAGAGATGAGACAGAAGGGAAACGTGACTCTCCCACACTTCTGAGATCCCACCCACGACACGGTGCGTCATGGGAACGGCACAGGGTCACCCAGGGAAAGCGAGGTCTCACCTTTGGTGTGCTCCTCCACGGGGGTCACCCCCAGCTTCTTGAAGTACTCATCGGTTTCGGGGTCCACCACCAGCAGCCTGGCTTCACTCTCCCTGGACTTAATGTGGGACACCACCTCCGAGTGCCGCAGGCCTTCCACGTTTATCCCGTTCACCTGCAAAGCGAACCCAAGGCTGTGTCCCCGGAGCAGCGATGCTGGTCCCGGCTCACAGACACCCAGAGCAGACTCCTCATCCCCTTGTTTTACATTTCCATTGGGATGATAGGAAGGCTACAGGCTTTTCCTTCCCCCTCTCAAGTCTGCCATGGTCTCCTACCATCCGCCCAGTGCCTCTGCCAGAGCATCCTTTGTGTTCCCACATGCCTCCGGCTCCTCCCGTATCCCAGACACGTCCACCCGCAGTCACAGACCCCGCCACCACCTCACCCACCCAGGTTCTGCTGAAACGCCCCGGCTGCCCCCCGTAGTGATTCCAATCCCAGCCCTCGCCTTGGGTGCGCCCGGGGTATCTCCGGCTGCCCACGGGGTGCAACCACGGGCTGGGTGCCACCGGTGTGCCCTGCTCCCCAGCCCTACCCAGGCGGCTGCGGCATCACCACACCAGCGTTCATTCATCCCTCCATGATGGAAAACCATGGATTTTCCACATCCCCAGCAAGCGAGTCCCCGTGCCTGCTGCACGGATTCATTTCTCCTCCCTCTGCGTGCGAGCCGGGACCTACTGGGAACATGATCCTCCGCTCCCGATTGTTCCCCGCAGCAAAGGGACAATTGTGATTGAGGCATTGTTTCACCGGGAACGAATCAGCCTTCGTCCCCCAGGGAAAGGTCTCCACACCGCCTGACCCCTCGCCGCTGGACCCGTTTTTGTGTGATAAACTGTTTTGAACGCTCCAGCCCGTCTCCAGCAAAACTCAACCCACCCTTTGCCACCCATCCTGCCTTTGGCATCCGAAGGTGCCCGCAGGAGAGGAGAGCGATGTGTTAGTTCAGCTTGGATGGAGAAGGTGAGAATGTGTGTGTGTGGTGGGGGTACAGAGACCACCACGGAGTAACCTCCTCTTAAATATAGCTACTCTGTTACTACAGCTTTCTGGCCCAACGATGGACCCTCTCGCTGCCAGATCCTGGATGCTTCATAGTGAGGATGAGCAGCCGCTTCCCCTGGGTCCTGCCGAGGCTGTTGGGGGGCTGCAGCATGAAGGGATGAGGCAGGTGAATCCCGCAGACCCTGAGCCAGCTCCAAACTTCGTGTTTCCCTTTGCATTTTGGATACCTCCACACCAACCAGGGGCAGAAGCAGGTCCTGAAAAACCAGGATACGGCCGCAAGAGCTGGGATGGAAACCCCCTCCCCACCTCACTGGCAACCTCAGCTACCAGCTTGTAATCCCAACTCCATCCCCAGCACTCTGCCACCTCTCCCAGTAACCCCAATTCACCCAGTCAGGCAGCCTGGGGCTGCTCTCCCCCCACCCCAGCACCCCCCCAGCCCATCCAGCACAACAGGACTTGGGTGGGGGGTTGGTATCATCAAATATTTATCAAAGCCCCAAAGAGCAGGTTCGGAGGGAATCGTGTTTCTGAGCTCACCCCTCGCCGCTTTGTGTGTGCCAGGCGCCGAGCCAAGCGCCGATAAATAAATAACGCGACCCCTCGCCATGACACCGCGGTGCCGGGAGCTGCCTCCGGCCCCACGCTGCTCCTGGCATTAAACTTTCAGGTGCCAGGGAAGAGGCAGCAGCTCCCACGGGGCTAGAAAGCAGGCGAGTGCTTAATGATTCCCTAAGAGTGTTTTCTTCCAGGAGCGCAAACCCCTTTCCCATTTGGAGCCGGCAGCAAGGCCACGGGTTGGTCTCTGTGGGGGGGTTTGGGGTTCACATCGCCCCGAGTAGAGGACATCCATGTGCTCCCACAGCACAGAAATGGAAGGGGTGACAGATACAGACTCAAGGTCTTCCTGACCCTACGGGCGCTGCCCAAACCCTGCCTGAAGCGCAGGCAGCTCTGGATGGGAGAACCTCGTTGTTAGGAAAAACACAAGACACAAACAAGCTAAAGAGAAGGTGATTCCCAGACACATCAAAACCTGTGTTTTCCAGCACCTGGTGACCAGGAAGATGCTTCCAAGAGCAGTTTCTCCTCATCTTTCACAATTTTGTGTCTTGACACAGAATCACAGACTGGTTGGGGTTGGAAAGGACCTTACAGCCCCCCCAGTCCCATCCCCTGCCACAGACAGGGACACCTTCCACCAGACCAGGTTGCTCCAAGTCTCATCCAGCCTGGCCTTGGATACTCCCAGGGATGGGGCATCCACAGCTTCTCTGGGCAACCTGTCCCAGTGCCTCCCCACCCTCTGCGGGAAGAACTTCACATCCTGCAAAACTTCTTCCCCCCTTTTTCCAAAAGCATCAGCTTGGCCAGGCAGCACCAACCCGTCCCTGTGCCTGTGGCAGGACAATGGACCAGAGGGTGGCTGGGCAGGAGGTCACCCCCTCCCCTGCGCAGGCAGTGGGACACATCCCTTGTGTCCCCACGCCCCTTTTGCTGCAGCAGACAGAGCCAGCTCCGGCACAGAGTGGCACCAGGCAATGCCACCAAGTACAGGGCTCGCTGTGCTGCAGAGGGGGAGATGGGCACCCATCAAGCACCCCATTTGTATGTGGGGTCCTACTGCCACCCCTGTGCCGTCGCGATGGGCACAGGGGCGCCAGCTGGAGCCAGCAGCATCATCTAGATTTCAGCGTTCCGTTTGCCAAAGGACCCAAAGCCACTGCTGAAGTCCCCACATCACCTCTTCTTACAGAGAAACAGGGGGGAGCTGATAGAAAAGCTCAAGGGATGGGGACTGGTTTCAGCTTCCTGAGGGTCCCATCACATCTGCTGTCCCTTCCCCACCCACGGACAGGGACAGGACCCAGCCGCTCCAGCCAGGCTGGGCAGGATTGAACATCCCTGCGCAGCACATGCCGAGGAAAGCCCGAAGGCTTCCCGGGAAGGGAGATGCTGAAGCCCCATGCGTTACCTCCACCAGCCGGTCCTGGGGCCGCAGCCCTGCCCTGGAAGCTGGCGAGTCGGGGTCGACCGAGCGGATGAACTGCCCCGGCCGGGACTTCTCGCTGTGCAGGTTGAAGCCGTAGCCATTGGGGCCTTTCTTCAGGTGGCAGAGACGCGGGCACAGCTCCTTCTGTCCGTTTAAATCCTGAGAAACAGAGGAAGGGTTGAGGGGGGGAAGACAAAACATTTAACTTATAGGTTTGGGTTTGCTCTAAAGCAGATGCAATCATAAATAAAGCTACCAAGGAAGCATCATATCTGCGCCCTGTCCTCCCGTTCCCCTCAATGGGACAGCTTAACAAATGAATTTCCTCTCATTGAGTCTATTTTAGAAAATCAATTGTCCGAAACCATTCCAGAAAAATTTAAAACAAAACAAAAAAAATGCATTTCCTTCACCAGAAACTGCCCAGATAAAGTCCGCCCATACGCCCAGCCCCACGGCCGCAGCCCTGGGCAGGGAGGAAGCAAACCCGAGAGCCCAGGTTAACCCAGGCACTGGATTAACCTCAGTTATTTATTTACGGCAGTGCCGTGCCCTTGGCCCCGGTGACATCGGCATCGCCTGTGGGTATGATCCCCTCCCAGCTGAGGGGCTCGGGGTGATGAACCCCACGCCTGACAGCAGCACGGAAAGGCTGAGCTTGCTGCAGGTACAGGAGCTCGAGAGGAGTCCAGCTCCTTCTCCCTGTCCCATGGAAAAGGTTTTAGGGTTCCTCAGGGTTTCTCCTGCTTTTCTCCACTGCATTCCCTCGGAAGCTGCTCTCC